AGTAGATTAGTGCAGCCACCCACTTGTCCATCCTTTAAAAACTTTTGTCTGGGATATTTAGTGATGTGAATGTAGTCTCTTCTACAATACTCAAGAAGGCAGGAATTGACTATCCCAACAGCATTCAGGGGGACTTCAACATACTACATGTGGAGGCTCTAGTCTTTGGGCTGGCTGCAGACTCCCATGCGGTTGTTCCAACAGGTGAAGGGTCTCACACGCATGGTGGGCTACACTCTGAACCTGGTATTCTTGACTGTCTGAGATGATGAAGATCTGAGGGTAACTAGTTTGGTTTCATCGTACTTGTTATGGTCAGATCATTACCTACTGAAATTTGGCCTGGCACTAGCAACCTCCCCTCATGGGGAGAGAGAGAGGACAGATTAGGATGGTCCGTCCACACAGGCTATTGAATGCTGTTGGCCTCCAAGGTGCCTTGGGTGGGTTTCCGCATGAGTGAACTGGCATGTGTGTCGAAGCCCAGGTGGTTGAATGGAATGCTGTGGCAACCTGGGTAGTTTATTCCTTCTGAAGGCCCTCTCCATATGAGGGCCCGCTTTTCTCTGCAGAGCTGCAGGCCCTGAAACAAGCTCGGAGACGGCTAGGGAGTGTCTGGAGGAGAGCTCGCTCAGATGTTTATAAGGCTGCGGTTAGAAGTACTTCTAATCACTATTGTAATGCCACCAAGGCGGCAAAGAGAGCCTACCGTATGAGGCATATCAGTGAGGCCTATCACCATCAGGTGGAACTCCTCAAAGTATTCTGCACCCTCACTGGAGCTGGGTGACATTTGGGACCCCAACCAGATGCTGTAACATGCAACTGGTTTGTAGCCCATTTTCACTCTAAACTGGAGGCCATCCATAGGGATCTGGACTATGTAGCTGGGTGACATTTCGGACCTCAACCAGATGCTGTTTGCAGCCCATTTTCAATCTAAAATGGAGGCCATCCATAGGGATCTGGACTATGTTAGTGGGGCAATAAGTCAGGTCGAGATGTCCAGCACCATTTCTGGTCTGGCTTTGTTGGATCAGTTTTACCCAATGACGCCTGAGGACATGCACAAGGCACTTGCACTTTCCAAGCCTACCACCTCTCACTCAGATCCATGCCCCTCCTAGCTTTTAAAAGCCTCCAGAGAGGGCATGGTCGAGTGGGCCTGTCAGATCATCAATTCCTCCTTATGGGAGGGATATCTTCCTCCATGCCTGAAGGAGATGATCAGGCCTATTCTAAAAAAGCCAAATCTTCCATTGGATGATTTCAACAGCTATTGTCCCATTGCAAACATCCCATTCATGGGAAAGCTGATTGAGAGGGTGGTGGCTGTTCAGTTGCAGACGTTCTTGGGTGACACTGATAGTCTTGATCCGTTTAAGTCAGAATTTAAGCCACACCATGGGACTAAAACAGCTTTGGTCACACTGTTGAGTGATCTTCAGGAGGCAGACAGGGGGAAGGTGAACCTGTTGGTTCTCCTGGATCTCTCAGCAGCCATTGATACCATAAACCACAGTATTCTCCTGGGCTGTATGTCAGGGCTCAGGATTGGTGGTTCAGCTTTATGCTGGCTCTGCTTCTTCCTTGAGGGTCAGTCCCAGAGGGTCCAGCTGGGGGAAGTTGTTTCTTCCCCGTGGGTCCTGCAGTGTGGTCTCCCACCAGGGTTGATCATCTCTGTTGTGCTGTTCAACATCTGTATGAGACGACTGGGAGAGATCATGCAGAGATTTAGATTTCAACCTAAAATGGAGGCCATCCATAGGGATCTGGACTGTGTTAGTGGGTCAATAAGTCAGGTCGAGATGTCCAGCACCATTTCTGGTCTGGCTTTGTTGGATCAGTTTTACCCCTCAGCTTTTAAGTCCTCTGACACTGAAAGTAAAAGTGCCATCAGTTCTGAAAGGCTGATAGAATGGAGGATCTGGATTACACTAAGTCCTGTGAGGAAGGGAAATGGGATTTGAAAGAATCACATAAGCTAGCACTAATACATTCAGTATTTCTTTATTACTTTGTTTTTATATTTCTGCCATGCCAATGGACAGTATTTCTTTATTTGTTTTTATATTTCTGCCATGCCAATGGTCAATTCCCAACAGGAGACTAGGATACAAAGCAGTCTGTAACCACTTAAACATAGTTATAGAATCCAAAATATAATTAACAAAACCAGGGAAATCCCATATACCCCAGTCAAGAAATTAGAAATGGAGGGGATGATGGGTCAGGCAATCCATGAAATGGAGAGAAGATGTTGGTGACTAAAGGCAGGGTGAAGATGAAAGGCGGGAAAGGAAGTAACCATGTAGGGTCATCTGGGTTCTGGAAGATGGGGCCATCTAGGTATTATATTGCTGTGGAGGAACATCCAAGATAGTAAAACACCCTCTGTTTCCAGAGCACTGGCCCTTGATAAGAAGACCTGGTTTCAGTGAGGCGGAAGGAGGAGGACTGAGCAAAGTTACTGTAAGTTACTTCCTTCCAGAAGGTTCACAAGGACTAAGAAAGCGACTGATGAAAATGTGAGGAGGGATCTGGAAGGTGGGTAAGGGGTACAAAATGGGGAGAAGCAAGAAGTAGTTAGCTCTAGTTACTCTCAGGAGTCACTGAGCAAACCTGGAATTCACAATGTAATCTGCCTATGCCCCGGATCTATGCTGGGCTGTGAGTCTTCTGCACTGTCCATGAAGAAGATGTGCTTAGCTTGAGGAAGTGGATTTCATCCACAAAAGCATGCTGCTTAGTGGTCAAATAAAAGGTATCACCCATTCTTGCACTGGAGAATGGAAAGTTAATTTTTTGTTATTTTATTCTTGGAACTGTTCTCAAATTGCTTAAACCTCTAGCTTCCTTTTGGTTTTGTAGTAGCTCCACACTTCTTACCCATTTTAAACTTTGTTGCATGTTGGAAATTGTTTGAAACCTTCTTTTTCTTTTTTCTTTTCCTTTTTTTGTCTTCTGCAACTTTCTGTTTTTCTTCTCTTTTTAAAATAAAACTGAAAAAATCTTATTCAATTGTTTGGCTTTCTGGGAAAAAGAGGGTTGAGGGTACTCCAAAAAACACGGTCTTCTGTAGTTTTGAGCAGTTGTGGGTGTTTTTATAGTTCCATTCTGCAAGTTTGGCATGCCAGCTTCAGCAAGCAACCTTGTGATTTTTGCACAATTCCCAAGAGCACGGAAGAAGGAGGCAGGCTCACAGTGACCAGACAGGAAGACTTCCCCAGCCAACAGCACAATTGTGTTCAAAAGCTTTTCAAAATCCTGACTACTAGACTCAAAAAATAAGAAACAACATAGTTTTAGAAGATAATATCCCCAAAGATGTAGCCTGTGTCTTCATCCTATGATCCTTTCCACAGCCAACTCCTCTAAAACAAGTGTGACTGTACCAAAGAGAGGGTGAAGACAGGCAGTTAGATTTTCTGTATTATAAAACAATATTGTATACCTCAGCAAATATGATGAGACAAAGAAACAGCACAAGCCAACACTTGAATTGTGTGGTATTCATCCCCCACCATTTAGTGAAGCTATACCCTCATAACTATTAAACTAGCTATGTAGGTTACATTTACCCTGCAATTTTACCCTAATTATAATCCCAATGTAATGTAGTTATATCTTAATTGTTGGGAAGAATTATTACTTACAAGTTACTAGTTGTTTCTAAATAGAGATGAATTAAGTCATCCCCTTTTGTACAAAGTTGTCCACATGTACACGTTCCCTCCCGCCATCCTCCCCCTGGCCAGCTGGCCCACTCACAATCCATCGTGTGCTGCTGAGGTCCTCTTTCTCCAGCGGTGTTCCAGTCTGGGCAGGAGCTCAGGCTGCCTTTCCCTGCCTCCTCCAGCAACTGACCACACAACGGCTGTGCAGGGAGAATCCCCATTCCACCTCCTTGTCTGAGTGATCAGCTGCCAGAAGAGGCAGGGAAAGGCAGCCTGAGCTCCTGCCCAGACTGGAACACCACTGGAGAAGGAGGACCCCAGCAGAGCACAACGGATTGTGAGTGGGCCAGCTGGCGGGGGGGGGATGGCAGGAGGGTGCTGTTGACGACTTTGTACAAAGGGGCATGGCTTAATTCGTGCCCATCTCTATTTCTAACTATTTGCTTTCAAGCCCTGCAACAGATGGAACTGTCAATCATATTCAAAAGCGAATATCATCTCTTCACCACTTCATATTAGTTGACGGAGGATAACAGAATAGATAGACACCTAAGTGGACTGTAACTGGTAAACTTCATTTTGTCCCTTTCTCTTAATTAGTGATCTTGTTATATAACTATGCAATGGCCTGAGGCATGCACTTGACTTCCAGGGTGGAACAACTCTACCATTCCACAAAAATAGGGGGAAAGCAATTGTTTTTTAAAAAATGGATTGCTTTGTGTGTGTGTGCTAGTAACCTTATAAAAGTCAGACTCCACTACAAAAAAAACCCCCAAAGGAATGGATTCTGGCAACACATCCCTACTCCAGCAAGAACAGAGTGTTCTTTCCAATATTTTTTTAGCTGTAGAGTGTAGTGGTCCTCTGAGAAAATAACAAAGTACTTAAAAACTAGATTTTAGTGTTACACAACAAAGAGAGACAGAAAATACTTCTGACTGTCCTTTTACATTTTTCGTTGCCAAAGTCAGCTGGTTGCAACTGACTGAATTTTATTTTCTTCCTACATAGCTATTAATTACATTTACAGGAGAAAAATACAGTAAGACAAAACATTTTATCAAGCACATGCTCCCTAACTACTATGCAACAGGACTGCTGAAGTAGGAGGTTAAGTAACCACATTTCTGTTGTACAATTCGTTGCTTTCCATGTGCTCCAGCCAATCAAATGTTCCAATAAATACAATGTGCTAAAAGAGTGTCTTTTGTAACAGATAGTTATATGAGACACAAATGCTGCTATCGAGCTTTGTAACATTGCATACATTCTTCTATATGAAATTTCAAGACACACCATTCTGGGAGTCAAGTCAGCCTGGAAAAATAATTCAGTCAACACGGGAGGATACTTGTGGAAGAAATTACAATTAAAGAGATAGCGTGAGTAACATTTAAACCTCTTGCCGTGCATTGAAATTTGATCTTCCAAAAATGCTGGAAAATATCGTCATTATCAAGAATAAATTAAAAGAGAAAAAGGAAGGACTGTGTGTAGCTCCTTCAGGACAGAAATCACATTTTCCTTTCTAGGCTTCCATATTTATATAAAGAGTTCCTTTCAGTTTATTTATTTGTCAGAAAACTGTACCACGCTGCAGCATTTTTACAGACACAGGTTTCTCTTTACTGATTTGCTGCTGCAGAATACAGAATGCCTTTGCTGAAGCAACATGAAGGGCAGCCTATCTGGATGTAATTTATCAGAAGCCACATCCTTTTTAGGACTGAAATCTCCTCTGAAATGAGGACTGTGGATTTAGACTGAAGCAGACTAAGCATAAAAGTTTTTTTCATATCATGGAATGATTCAACAAAACTCCACTGTTGTTGCGCTGAGATGGAAATGAGTCCCTCCTCGCCACTTCCCTGTGTTGTGTTTCACCACAGTTAAATCCAGGAACAATGCACAACATGGTCATTCACTGATGCGTGCACAAGCTTTCACTTTGTTGGGCTGCAACAGTTCACAACTGAGGATTCAGGAGCATTATCCCTTTGGTGTGGATAAGGAAATGTCATTTAATCATTATTTTTAAGAGGTCACTCTGTGGAAATTTTAGCTATCTATTTAAAATTCTGCATGGATATTTTATTTATTTAATTAAAATATCTCAAGATTTCCATCAGAAGCACAGGTAGGTAACCTTAGACAGGTGAGAATGTTTTGGTTTTTATCTCCTTTCAGCACAGCATAGCCAATGTTAATTGTAGAAGCTGTAGGTCAAGACATTCAGAGAACCCAAGGTTGACCATCTTGGTGTGTGTTTGTGTGTGTGTGTACACGCATGTGCATATGCATCCATGTGCATGTAGGCTTGTAGGCACACACCCCATACACGTGTATGTGTGGGACTGTCTTCGCACTTGATCCAAATAGTGCAACTCATGCAAGACATGAGCATCCAGACTCCTTTGTAGGTCCTCCTACTTGACACATTTATAGCTCCAATAGATTTGCATTCAATGCCAGTAAGACCTTCAGCGAGGTTCGAGCTGCTGCTTTGACCCATAAAGCCCAATATAGCGCAGGAGGACCATATCAAAGCCCCTGAATCCATGCTTTACATTCTGAAGCGGAAGGGCTCTGCTTTCTATAGGGCAACCTAGTGAGACTTATTTGGTTGTGTGCTCACCATGTGGAAAGGTTTTCTCAGTAAGATTAGATGGACTTTTAATCCTGGATGTTTCTGCCGCAGACTAAAGACTTAAAGCTGACTCAGGCATTTGGCCCCTACTTGTTCCTTCCAAGAGAACTGATCTGTGATGGCTCATTTGGACATACAAGTTTGTACTGGATGCAGTTGTAAACAAGTGTATGAATCAGTCTTCAGAATGTGCAACTTTATTTATTTATTTATTTATTATGGACTTTTAATCCTGGATGTTTCTGCCGCAGACTAAAGACTTAAAGCTGACTCAGGCATTTGGCCCCTACTTGTTCCTTCCAAGAGAACTGATCTGTGATGGCTCATTTGGACATACAAGTTTGTACTGGATGCAGTTGTAAACAAGTGTATGAATCAGTCTTCAGAATGTGCAACTTTATTTATTTATTTATTTATTTATTTATTTATACTGGTGACAGCACAAAGCACTACTTTAAGTGGTTTACAGAAGCACAATATAACAGTAACCAGCCACTCAACATTAAACATTTCAAAACAAGCAATATGTTTTAAGAAAACCCAAAATGGTGGCAACAGACATAGAATAGCTTAAGATGGGATGCTTTTGAAAGCCTCTTGAAACAGGACAGTCCTTAGTATCCTCTTAAAGGATAGGAGGGAGGGAGGGGGGTCTGGCTTGTTTGTTCCTTCCAGTAGAGCTTATGTGTGATGGGTCATTTGGACATATAAGTTTGCATGTGCTTCCTCATTGTAGGAATGCTCATATTAACAATCCTAGACATTAATATTATTACGGGTATAATTATGTGAATACGTTCTGACCTCCTATGACTCTTCAATTTATTAAACTATTTATGGCATGGATTAAAGGTTGAAGTGCAATGAAAGAAAGTCAATCATCCCAATAAAACTAGGGACTCACTTCTCTTTTATCCCAGGATAAATAATTAAGTGAACAATAGTAAGTTATCTCTGTAGTAGCCATATTTGTCTGTGCAAGCATATTCAGACAAGAGGCAAAAGAAAAACAGAAACAAAACATGAAGAAGGCAACAACATTGTGGTACTTTAAAGACTAACTGCTATATTTTAATGTGAGCTTTCATGGATTAAGTCCACTTCCACAGACATCAGAGTGAGAGACTACATGGCAAACATTTAAAGATGGTCCCAAGTGAAAGAGACAATGGTTGCTTAGTTGACACAAGTTGTGTAAGTTGACATTTCACACCTAGTAATGACTTTACCTTATTTCATTCATAATTTGCTAACAGCTCTCAATGTACTTCTAGAGGGGCAATGGCAGCCAAATAATAGACTCTTGCAATAGGAGTATGTTTCAAGCAGTCAGTAATAATCCTTAAAAATAAGTGGCAGTGGTTAGTTGGGAAGGAACCTAGTCTATGGAAAATAACAGCAGATAATAACATAATTTTTGTAGTATTTTACTTTTGGTAGTGGCTTAAGAATCTGGCTGGATAGCTCAGTGAGTTATGTTTCTGGCTGTGGAGTCAGAGGTTGGGAGTTCAGTTCTCTTCTGTGCATCCCAGAAGAATCAGCCTGTATAGCCTTGGACAAGCTGCACAGTCCCAGGATGCCTCCAGAAGAAAGGAATGGTAAGCCAGTTCTGAATATTCTCTACCTAGAAAACCCTGGAAAGAGTCACCATAAGTCAGAATTGACATGGCAACACACAAATATTGAGAACCCTTAACTAATATTTAATCCATTGAGATAGGTATCAAGTATATGTATATATTTCATCTCAGCAGTACCCCTCTGGATCCTTGTTCTGTAATGTTTCTTCTCCAGGATAACAACTTTCAAATTCCAAGAAGAGTGTCCAGGTAGATTGAAATGATTTGAAGCAGGTATCGTTGTATTGCCATTCCTGATGTCCAGTCTATGCCCATTAATTCTTTTCCACAGAGATTGTCCCATTTGTCCTATGCAGACTGCAGAGGGGCATTTTTGGCAAAAGAAATGCCATGAACAAGTAAAAGTAAGTTATTTATAGAAGGTGAAATGCATAGTTCTGTTGAGAAAGGCAATGAGCTGAGAATGATTGAAGAAAGCCAGCAAGGGATCTGTGTGTGACTAAAACCCTCCACAGGTTGCTGTCCTCTGAACATACTGTCCACAGAGACTGGCGAGACGTTAGGAAGAACAACCTTCAGAACACGGCCAAAGAGCCTGAAAAACCCACAACAACCTCCACAGTTTGCTTTTTAAATTGGGTTAAAAAGTGGGATATCTACAATGTTGTTTGTGTAAACAAGCTGAACAAGTGAACACAGCTACAATGTCCTGATGCATGACGTTTCCATCAAGGTGGTGTACAAGCTCCACTTCTTAAGTACAACTTGACTGACAAGTAGTACAAGATTAACTGAAATTCTAAGATATTCTAATAAGATCTTTGGCTCTCTTTTACTTAGAAAGAGACTAGATCAAGGAAGAAAACAGTAAAAGTACTCTAATCATGGGCTATCAGTAACACTTATTTCTGTATAAGACTGCAGCCTATGTACTTGTTTTATTTTACGAGTATATAATAATACAGGAAGTTCTTTTTTATGTGAGGGTCTGCCTCTGGGTGTCAGAGCCGACAACAGTACAATGAGAACCTACAGAAGGAAAGAGCTCTGTCATAGAGCGTTCTTTCCCCCATCTGCAGAATACATTTCCTACAGAAATCCAATTTATTGGTAGTTTGAGACACTAGGCTAAGATTTTTTTTCCAGCAGAGTTAATTCCTTGATTTCCTTACCTGTGTCACTGTTTCATTGCTGGCTCTGAATACCATTTACATGTCTTTATAGTCTAATATTTTCACATATTGGCTTGACTTTGGCTGTTTTACTTCTTTTTTTGTTATAATCTAGGTGATTTTCTTGACTGTTTTTGTTTTTATATTTGTAAACGGCTTCCAGGGTATTGCCAGTTCATGGCTATAAAGCACTTCAAATGAAATTTTAAAATACTGTAGCTTTGATAAGCAATATATTTTAAAGGAACTAAGATAGGTATTTTATGTCTTTTCCATGGATCGAAATATGCAATACATGTTTATATATGTGCTAACTGTGTTCTGAATTCAATAAAGAATGTAAATTGGCTGGCCGCATATACCACTTTGGGGTGGTTTGGGACTGAATGATCACAGATTGAAAGTACCGCATTACAAGGAGCCATGCTGCATGCTGCAAAGTAGCCATATCACATGAAGTGCTTTGGGGGAAAGGGTGAATTAAGGGATAATAATATACCTTTTGCAATGAAAATAATAACTGGAAGCATAATGTTTCCTCTGTATTTTGGAGAAGCCTGAAATTGCTAAAAATGTGCACTGTGAAGGGATCTCTTTTTTTCCAATTTTTAGGTAATTTTTCTTCCCTTTTTTTAGGTAGTTGATTTTTTTAAAAAGGAATTTAAAAGAAACAGGGAAACAGTTTTCTTTGTCTTGTTCACACTCTGAAGGTGAGAGCTTAGAATTCTTATTAGGCTGCCTTCTAGTGTCAAGAAAGCCTAAACTGAGAAGAGTAAAGAATTTAGCAAACATTCACATTCCGAATGGAGAACCATCAAATATTTTGACACATCTTAAAGGCTTGGCCTTAACCTAGAGGTACACTTTCTGCTAAATGGAATTAGCTACAAAAGACATCTTTGATAACAGCTCATCTTCCTTGTTTGTCTTTCAGCCTTAAGCATGCCTGCACACAACAAGCTGAAGATTTTCGTCATGCTACTGACGCTGGTCACCTACACAGTCACGATAGTGATGAATGCGGCAGCTGGTTCAGGAGCATTCACAGGTGAAGCTAAGAAATGCATGTTATAGATTTGTATAGAAATGACTGCCTATGTAGCTGTCTCGTTTTTGTGGAAATGCTTCATTTATCTAAATATAATAAACCACTAAAACACAGCGCAAAGTGTTATAAATTTCCCCCAACTGTCCTGAGCCTCTCAAATACTTCTTGAGGTCAAAATGGATCTCTTGGGGCCTCGGAGCCTAGGGATGGAGGGGAAAGGATTTAATTTATTTAAATTAAATATTAACATCCACAACTGATGGCATCATCACCATTTATGACCATGCAACTGTGCACAGGATTTCAGCTGCTGTTAAATGTTGCATAATACATGGATTTCAATATAAACTGTGCAGAGATGTTTTATTGTATCAAACAGTATACAAGTATTCCAATAACATGGAAAATAAACAAAAAACAAAACCCACTCCTATATTTGGAATCCATCCCTTGAATTCTATGAATTGCTCATGAAGATTTTGTGCCCGGTGATCAGGAGTTCTTTCCCACACTGTGTCTCCTGGGAGAAGAGTCAGTCTATGTAGCCTTGGGCAAGCTGTATAATCCCAGGGCATCCCCAGAAAGAGGAAATGGTAAACCTAAATATTCTCTGTTTAGAAGGGGTGCCATGTTGGAATCAACTTGATATAAAAATCATCATTATAAGGACAGAACCTGAAATTTACATAGGAATTTCTGTAATTCTGTCATGTGCCTGCATTTGGAATATAGCCTTAAATCCAATTGCTAGTCCAACTAAAATTACCATTGAATTGTTGGAATTGACACCAGCGTTGATTTATAACTAAGTCTAGCAGTTGCATTGGTGCTGTTCTGATCACAACAGCTCTCTCTTACACACAAAGAAAGGATACCAAAATATTGGAAAAAGTAAAGAAAAGAGCAATGGCAATGCAATCCTGAAAAATGGCAAATTACCTATGTGTCAGTGTTATGAGGCAACCAATGAACACTGTTCTTCACAAAAGAAACAGCTGGTGCATTTGGAGAGCACAAAAACCAAGACTCTAAGGTGGCAGTCGTGCATGTTGTGTGGTTGCACCAGCTACAACACGTTAATGTTTCCCACAATATCTGAATAGAGCAGGATCTGGAACTTTGGCTTATTTCTCCCCTGAGAAGCTAAGGGAAGAACCTGCACTTTGTTCTGTAATTTTTTTTCCCCTCTGGCTTCTTGGGGAAGACGTATGTCAGGGCCAGTTAAATCAATACATCATAATACTGTAAGTCTGTGGTTTGTTTAGGTGTGAAAAAACATGTCAGTAATCCCCCAGAAACAGAACTTACTGTGATGCTTAAATTGGATTTATGTTTAAGTATTCATTCTTGCAGGTGTCTTTCACACCACAGTGGGAAATATCTCATTCCACCATGACACAGACCTCACACCAGCATCCTGGACTTTCTTCATTTGGAATCTTATCTTTGTATGGCAATATGCCTGGTTGGGTTATGCATTATCAGGACTCTGCAGAAGGTACTGCTTTTTCATTGCCTTGAAGTAATACTGCTTCTAAACCAGGGATCTCCAAACTTTTCAGTGTGAGAGCCATATCATATAGGTTCCACAAAATTTTGAGGGCTGAAGGAAGACGTGCACGTATGCACACACTCCCTCATCTGTGCAGTCCTTTGCATCCACACACATGCACGCACACACACCAGGCCAGATAAAAAGGCAAGGCGGGCTGGATGTGGCCCGTGGGCCGTTGTTTGGAGACCCTTGTTCTAAAGTGAAGGGATACTGGGCCAATAGCATTGTTGTAGGCTTGAGGGATTCTCTCTTGAGCTCAGTTTTCTTCAAGAAATGGGCTAAGAGAAGGGCTGGCCTCACTAAGAACGAATGGGAAGCCATGGCTTGGGGCAGTGGATTCCACTATAACAATGACTGTAGTACCATTGTCCTGCTACTAGTCTTCAGCCCAAATCCTTTTGCCTAGTTATGCTGGCATGACACAAATGATATAACTCTGGAGGCAAATTGCCATAAGTTAAGAAATCACCATAGGCATTATCTATTACATACTGAGTCGTGTGATTCAACAGGCAACTGAGAATATCTATGGTAATTTCCTAACTTAGGCAAATTTAACTTCAAAGTTTCTAACATTGTTTTGTTGATACACAACAGAGTTTTGGCCTTCAACTCTGCATAGTTTCCGAGACTTAAAATTTTTATATAAGTATGCAGTATATTATTTTGTTTGTATACCATCTTCTTTTTGGAGTATTTTGGGAATATTTGAATATTTGGGCTTCCTCATGGCATTTCTTACAGTTACATATCAGTCCCAAATCTTCACTGGCACTGATTCCAAATGGTGGCCTGTCAGGCAACACTAGAAATGAAGATCACAACAAGACATGAACAGAGTTTTTCTGGAAGCTTGGTTTTAAGGACTGATATAGCCCTGAAATGAACCATGGAATCCAATTGGTAAAAGGAAATAATTATTCATATCTTGAAATGGGTACCTGAACAGAAAAAGCAGCCAGGCCATGAATTAAGTTCAGTAATCTATGGGCTGGTTTAGTAGATATGGGGACGTCACTTCATGTAAAACACAATTCTTCCATGGGAGATATTTCGAAGAGAAAATAAGAGCTGATCATCATAAATGACCACTGACACCAGTGTATAGATAATGTAGGAGTGGTGTACCAATGGCTAGTATGTTGCTGCCTAAATGCAGAACAGAAGGGAAATTGTGTAAACTTCATTCTCTTGCTTCAAAAGGTTCCCAATATGATTGGCTGCATGATCAAGCTCATTATCCATCCAGGAATGGGCATGTAGTGGGGAGGGAGCCTGCCAGAGCTGAGGGGAAGTTTTAGTTATTTTCTTTCCATTCCACTTGTGGGCAACAGGATTCTGGTCATTATCCAATGCTCAGTGATATTTTTCCTGAATTTTGCATTTGTTCCATCAGGAATGAATTTGGCTGGGTCTACATATGGCCAGATGTACTACCCCTCTCTTTTTACCTAATGTGGATGCTGAACAATGCTCTAAACATTGGATGGCTATTTCTGTGGGACTCACTGTAAGTAAATACTCTTGGAAAACCCCTGTAGGGTTTTAGATTTTTCTAAAGTTCTTCCAGAAGGGCCATTGAATTGACTTTCCTCTTACGTTTCCTGTGCTTCCACGTCCAATGGTATCTCATGGCCCATGTAACACAGCCCTCTCTGACAAGGTGCTCTCCAGTTATTTTGGGCCATAATTCCCATTATCCGCCATCAGCATTTTCTTCTGGTAGAGGATGATGGCAATATTTTATCCTATACTGGAAGCCGCCTAGAGTGGTCGAGTAGACCAGATAGGCGGGGTATAAATCAAATAAATAAATAAATAAATAAATAAATAAATAAATAAATAAATAAATAAACAAACAAACAAACAAACAAACAAACAAACAAACAAACAAAT